ACTTGATCACTTGCCCGATCTTTCTGTAATTGCTCTCTCGACTGATCAACCTCAAAAATATCTTCCTCCAGAATGGAAAGGCCAGTTTTATAGCACTTTGCCAGCAAACAGAGCAAAAGAAACTCCGAATGTAAAATAGTCAAATGTTCAGTAGATGACTAAAGCTTTCGAATAGCGGTTAGCAATGGAGCTACCCCACGCAAGGGCTCCTCAAGCAATAGCACTTGGTCCTTGAACCTCTTACAAACAGATGTAAACTAATCGGGTGCCAATCGAATTTGCTCAGCAACACATGAACTGATAAATCTCATAATGATTAACACAAATAAACTAGCTTGCTCTTTTGTAACTGGGCCAACAGTGCATGCCTATTTTTTGGTGGTCTGCCAATGGATTAAATAATGGTGATGAGGATAGGATCTCAGTTTAAAACTGAACATCCTGTCCCATTCAATCTGGGTTTTAATTTCAAAAAGCATTTGAATTTTAAACCAAATCTTATCATTTGATTTATCTTTTCTATTTTTTAAAATTATTTTATCCTTTTATTTACTTTTAGGGTGTCTACAATATAATTATGAGTAATTGAATTTTATATAATTTGACATCTATGAAAAATTTTTAATTTAACCAACTTTGATGACTAACAAATTATGCTTACTATAGATATCAAAATAAATAATCATAACAATTATTTTAATATAATAATATATAATAATAACTAAAAATGTATATGTCGAAGGTGTTAATATTGTAAGTAAATAAAATACCAGAAACTATCATATATAAAGTTCACATAATTATTGTATCTTACATAAACAATACAACATATTTATATGGTAAGTAGATGGCATAAAATAGTCAATGATTCATTTACATTAATAGCTTTGATGATCATTATAAAATCTGTAATAATTTTTGGTACAATAATTTTTTTAATTGTATTATTCATGATTTAATAAGTTTTTTGCTATGTAGAAAAAGTATAATTTTTTTGGAAATATTAAACTACAGTCGAGAGATAAGAGAAGAGTTGCAGATGTCTGGATTTGAACTTCAGACCTACTACATATTATTTTTTAAGGATAATAATGTGAACCGAGTTAAATTCCATGTTCAAGGAAGTGTGTTATTAATATTTATCAAAATGATCACAAAATGTCAAGTCTCACAAACACTTTATTCACTTAAAAAAAAAAAAAAACCTTTAAAATAAACTTTCAAAACCTGATGAGCTCTAAACAAAAATCAGCAAATATCCATTTTAATTGAAAACATTCTAAATCATTAAGTTTGATTCCTATATTTTATCTTACATTTATTATGCTTACGTTGTTAACTTTTCTTTATTTTATTTTCCTAAATTAGGATGATTTAAATTTTTAATACACAAATTTTAATTCTTTATATTATGTGTTTCTTTAATTAATCTAATAAATATGATTTATTATCGTACTAAATTTAAATTCATGCAAGAATATAAGCGGCTATTTTTCCTTCAATACATTGTAATTAAATGACTGCAGTCTCAAATCGATTATGACATACAAAAAACTAAAAGAAGTTTTAATTATTGCTTTTGGATTTCACATAGTATGCCATTATTAACTCGCAAAGAACGTTGGGACTCTGAACTTTCATCATGATGTAAGACGAAGTTGACCACAAGCAACAAAAAATCGATCATAAGAAAATAATAATAGATATAAAGAGTAATCTTTAAAGGAAATTAATTATAAGTTCTTCAAACTAAAAGCTATGATATCACATGATAAATTTTTTTAATTAGTAAATTGAACGATAATTTTGTATAATTTTAATGCTCAAAATCTTAGAACAAGATGATTTTCACAACATTTTTAATTAAAGAGACGACATATAGTGATCCATGATGAACTATTTGAAAATAATTTTTCTTAAACTTAATTTCTCTCTCTCTCTTAACCACCTTAATCTTCACATACTTTCTTGATGGATATATTTTCTTGATGGATAGAAAGTATCATTTTATAAGTAGAGAAATGAGTGTTTTTTTTTTATTATTTAATAGCTGTTATTCATATATTTCATCATGTGTGATTTATTAACAAAATATATCTCTCCGTTCAATAATAAGGTTTTTGGCATATAATTATTAAAACATAAATTTAAAATATATTTATTTAAATTAGATAAAGGGTACGTGGGTAACATAGTAGCCAACACAAATATGATAAGTAGTGGGTAAGATGTGATTGAATTTCGAATTATGTGATGTTGTAGATATGCCTTTTTGATGAGCCTTCTAACACTGTAGGACTTCAACAATGGAGAACCAAAATAACCGAGCTTTAAATTTAGAATGCTTCAAGGCATGCTATATGAGTAACTTTCTTTTAAATTTATTTGTCCTCACCAATACTAGGGATACAATAGGAGTTGTCAAATAATCTATGAGATACAATGAAGCCCTTATTAAAAAACACTTTGCACTAGTGAATTTTTAGCCACTAAATACTCTTGTAAAAATCGAAAATATTAGTCTTAAGCTAAGTCTTCTGCAACAAACAAAGTCTAAGAGACTATAATTTGAGAGTGACAGAGAGTAGAAATCTAAAGATATGAATTGTACGTCAAAATGTGTTCTATACCTCTATTTATTGATATTTAATTCAAAGGGAAAAGGCATGCTTTTTTAATTGTGTTATTTCAATCAGTAATTGTGTTAATTGATTAAGAATACATCTCTTTGTAAAATACAAACACTTCTTTATAAGTTAATAATCACCATGTGAAAGATAATAAACTAATTGAACAGAAACTTCATATTCATTTGAAAATTATAACTTTTGAACTAAAGCAATCACCTCTTTCTTAGAACAGCTAATTGCTCTTCTGTAATTCCAAGTTCCAGAATGTTACGCACATCAAGGCAGTTGATTACTTTATAAGGCAGTCGACTTCTTTAAATTTCTAGAATGTTATCTTTCTCAGAGCAGTTGATTTTGCCATAAGGTAGTCGACTTCCCTAGATTCCACAATGCTACTGACCTGATAGCAGTAGACTTCTCTGGATTCCACAATGCTACTAACTTGATAGTAGTCGACTGTTCTTCATGGCAATTGACTTTTGCGTAATTACAAAATATTTCTGTCACGAAAGCAGTTGATTCCAGCATATAACAGTTGACTATTTATGTATTTTTTTTTCTAAAACAAAGACTTTCTAATTAATAAGTTGATTGCCTTTAGGTTAAGCAATTGACTGACTTAATTCCAGCGGTAGCAGTTGATTGCCTTAAGGTTAGGAATTGACTGTTCCTTATTAAATGTACGAGGCAGTCGACTCCCCTTAAGGTAGCAGTCGGTTGCTCTATGGGTAAGTCTTCATATCAAATTCTTTGAAACTTTTTTGAACTTCTAATTAATTTTACTAAGTTATATTTTTATTTAATCTTTCATTTATTTTGAAAATATCTCTAAGGGTATGTTTTGAAGTCTTACATACCGTTAGTATTTTCAGCACACATAACGAACAATACTTTGAATTTTTAGCAAAATCATTTTCATTTGAAAGTAATATCTCTAAGATTTCCAACAAAACCAAAATGATTCGATTTTAACATTGGATGAGAAAATTATGATGTTTTGAATTTGGTTCTGTTTTGTTGAAAAGTGAGTGTCGACCGGCACATAAAGTTTTTAGCAAAATCTTGAATTTTTACATTTTTTTGACCCATGGGCATAAGAACCACACATACTGCTGCTTGGAAATCATGTGTTTTATTTTAGATTTTACCTAACTTTTATTTTTTATTTTACTATTTTTTACTACCCTCGTCCCATTTACCAGACAAAACTTCTTAAATGAATTACCAAATATTTATTAAAAGGTAAATACATTTTTTTTGAAATATTTTTTAAGTTGTCCCAACACTCTTAATATTATTTAATTAGGAAACTCCTCAACCATAGATTTAAAGAAAATCACCAGTTGAAATTCTCTTTTAATTCAATCATTGAAAAAAAATTTCACTTATTTGTAAAAAATATTAAATTTACATGATACAAATAACTATAAAATTGTGCAAAAAAATTAAATTTACAAAATTTTTTTATTAAGCCATATATTTTAATAGTCTTTTTTATTGTTAAATAATAAAAACATGTTCTTAATCTAAAAATCTAAATATGCATGTAAATAAAAAATACATATAACAAATAATAAATAAACAAATAAAGCGTAAAATTTTATCAAAATTAGGCTAAATCAAAGTAAGAGGTCTGAGTATGTATGAGTTGAACATAGTGGACCCAAACAATATCTGATCGAATGTAGCAAATAATTACAAGTAAAAAGTGTGTTAATTTATGATTGTCTTAAGTCGAGATGCGAGTTGATTCGTGAATCTTTGAATATTGATCGGCTGGAAGTGTAAGTGTGCTTCTCTTATAAATAAAAAAAAAAAATGTTTAAATTTTAAAATAAGATTCTTTTTATATGATTTGCGGTGTTTATTTTGTTGTGCTTGAAAAGAAATGTTTTGAAAATTGTTGTTGTTGATGTTTATTGAAGGTTTTCGAAGTTTGTGAAATCGGATCCACTCAACAGGGGTGACATTGGTTCCGCGCTCATAATAGGAGTTTTAGAAGTGTTCCTTAAAAACTATTGGTTTATTTTAGTAGTGTGTTGCATAATGCCTTGCGCATTATAAAGTCAACCATTGTCAACATCAAGCTAGAACTCTAATTTTGATACTCAAGAATATACTAATCAAACTCACTCGCTGCCATTAAACAACTCAATAATGTTGAATTGAACCATCAAAATCAACAGGCGAATATGCATTCGTGGCCAATTCTCTAAAGTTATCTGATTGCTAATGCTTGCGAAAGATAAAGTAATTCGAACCTTTTCTAATGCATGCACGATTTAATCATGCGCCCAAGTGGTAGCAAAAAGGCCTGTCAGCACTACGCTGCTAACTTTATTGCTTTTGGTTAATGCATGAACTTGCATGCAAAGCAAAACCTGAATTATAATATTTCCATTCTCATCTGATAACTATTAACGCACGATTCTTGTATATTATCTGCAAAGTTTGCAATATTAAATAGGTTAATGTGTCTGGTTTATGCAAAATATCAAGCTCAGTGCAGCTTTGTGAACACTAGCTGCACTGCAGAAGCCGCCATACATCACCTCCACTTAAGCCATAAAGTAATAACATTTGTTACTAATAGTGGGATTTAAAATTGCGAATTCATTCATGATACCGATTATAAATAGAGCTTGAAAGATTTCTGATGCATATCAGCCTTGGCCCTTAAGCTTAGTAGCATTAGGATTTCTCTACGTTTTGTAACACACTTTAATTTACTGTATGGAAATTGATATAGCAATGATGAAGAGGTCAAACAACTTTAAGGGTTATTCTCTGCTTATGATTAGCTTTATGCTTTGTTTAGCTGCTGTGACTGTGAGGTCCCAACTAACCAGTGATTTCTATTCGACAACATGTCCAAGTCTTCTTTCAATAGTCCGGAGACAAGTTCAGAGTGCTATCAAGACTGAAATGCGAATGGCAGCATCTCTGCTCCGGCTTCATTTCCATGATTGCTTTGTGAACGTGAGTATTGAGACACTACCGGATTTTGGGCAACTGTGACGGAAAAATTTATCACAGAAAAGCCTATATCCATCACAGATATAACTTAGTGACGGAAACACTCCATTGGGAGTACCCTCGTCACTGAAAGTCTGTCACTGTTTTTATCAAATTTCATAACAAATTTAGTGGCGGTTATATCCGTTACAAATGTCATAAAATTCTGTCACAATTTTTGTGAACTTGGAAAGCTTTCTTTTGCTGTATTCCATCACCAAATTTAAAAATCTGTCACTACTCTCACAAATTTATTACTTTATATTCATTTACATAATGTTGGTAACATTATTGATTAAACCATCATACATATTTTTTTCACAGGGTTGTGATGCATCGGTTTTGCTGGATGGAGACAGTAGTACTGAGAAGTTTGCATTGGCTAATATCAACTCAGCAAGAGGATTTGAAGTTGTGGATACAATAAAAAGCGCTGTGGAGAGCTCATGCAGTGGAGTCGTATCATGTGCTGATATACTAGCCATTGCAGCTCGAGATTCTGTTGTCTTAGTAAGTTAATTTAGCGCATTTGAAATCACAGAAGAGAGAGCTTTAGCTCAATTTATGCTCAAAATGAATACACATATATATTAATTATACCAAGCCAAATTGGTTCTAGTACTTATGGATGCTTTAAAGTGGAAATTAATGGTTGGTAGAGTGGAGGACCAACATGGAGAGTTCTATTAGGGAGGAGAGATGGACTGATTTCAAACGGGGCACTAGCAAATGCTTCACTTCCTTCTCCATTTGAGGCACTGGATGCAATCATTCAAAAGTTTGTCAATGTTGGCTTAAACATCACCGATGTTGTGTCTTTATCAGGTAACCTACTATACTGTACACAACTGCAGGCTTTGGACCTCAGAATAGTTTCTCTGACCAATATAGCATGCAAAAAATATACTAATTATCTGATGAAGTGAAGACCTTTTATTTTGAAGTTAATATTTGTTTGCATTTTTGTTTATAGGTGGCCATACAATTGGATTAGCAAAGTGTGCTACCTTCAGCAACAGATTATTCAACTTCTCAGGACCTGGTGTACCAGATAGTACAATGGAAGCAAGCATGTTGTCTGATCTGCAAGGCTTTTGTAACGGTGACGGAAACAGGAACCTGCTCTTGATAGGAACTCAACTGATCTATTTGACAACCATTATTTCAAGAACTTGCTCAATGGGAAGGGTTTACTAGGTTCTGATCAAATTTTATTTTCTAGTGATTTGGCCATTTCCACAACTAAAAGCCTTGTTGAAAGCTACAGCAGCAATTCACAGCTTTTCTTTAATGACTTCGCCAATTCCATGATCAAAATGGGGAACATAAGTCCACTCACAGGGTCTAATGGACAGATTAGGAAGAATTGCAGGGTTGTAAATTCATAGTTGTGCTTTACTGAAACAAGATTTCGTAAAATAAAAAACTTTGTAGCCAAATTTGCTGTTCAAGTGTAGGCAAATTTAAGGAATTAATGTGAGACATAGATTGCTTTGAATAAAAGATTATGTAACGATTTTCTATTGTGTGTTTTTGTTTGTTTTTTTATTATCTTTTGTCCCAAAGTCTACTGATTTGTTTTATATCGCCTCTTTCATAAGGATAGATATTGTGAATTACTGATTAAAAAGTAAACAGAGGAGGCTGTGGAGGTGATTGAAGCCATCCTCACTTGATGACAGGTGAACTATTGTATGTACGAAGATTAAAAGTAATTACAATAGAATTAGAGTTTGAATTTTGATCATAAGATAGCTATTATCTAAAGTGTTGATATGATCTAAGACCAAACATTATTCTTTGTAAATCTCATAGGAACTAAATGCTATATTAAATGTGATGACAAATGGTGGTGGTGAGATTTAAAGTGTGTTTTAAAAAATTGTTGTGAAAATTTATGATTTAAGATTTGTGAATATTTGACATTGCTGTTAAAAATTATTGCGAAAAATTAAAATGTTTAGAAAAATATGATGTTGGAAAGGAAAAATATATTATTTTTGTCAAAAATAAATAATTGAATGGTTATTTGATCATTTTGTCTTCAAACTATAAATTTCAAACAATAACTATATTTCTTAATTAGCTTTTGTGATAGACTCACTTTTAAAGGTACAAAAATATTTTTAATGCAAATCATATTGTGTTTAATAATACTTTTGTATTAAAAATTGCGTTTTGAAATCCAAACATAATGCTAAACGAGGCCTGAAAATTGAAACATTGAGATTGCAAGTTGTTGCGATCATATTGAAAGTAATGATAGGATAGTGTTCAATTGATTAAGATTTCATTCGGATTTATAAGCACAGCGGTGAGGCGTGCTTTGACGGTCTAATCACGCCACTAGGATGTTTGGATAACATATTTCAATCACGGTTGGACAATGCTAACCGCGCTGCTTTGTCAGTCTCGGACTGGATCCATGGGGGTCCCGTGAACAACCGCAAATTTGCAACATTTTTTTTTTCATTTTAACCCTTGATGTGTTCTATTTTTTCAACACTAGAAAATTTTTTTTTCATTTGCTTTTATTTTTAAAATTTTTTTATTTGAAAATTTTCATATGATTTTTTTTTATAATATCAAAACTTTAATTAATTATTAAAAAATTATTATTGTTTATAAAAATAATTTCATAGTTCCCAACAAGAAAAATTTTTTTTATTGGCTCTTATAAGTGTTAGGAAAAAAAAAAAAAGGTGTTGATATTACTATTGTTGATAATTTTTTTTGACTGTCGATTAAATGAATGTGTGAAAATTTTTCGACAATCAAGTCACCGATATTGGAATTATATGTGTTTATCAACATAATTTTTTTGTCACTTTAAAATGTCATTATAAGTAAAAAAAAAAAAAAAAAACTTCAAAAAACATTTTAAAATGTGGATAAAAATCATATTTTAAATATATCTTTTATATTTATTGAATGAATTATATTGACATTTAAAATCGTCCTTAAAGTTTTACTTTATGTTTTGAAACTAATTTTCATATTTTTAATCTTTGTACCCAATAAAATTAAAAAAAAAAAAAAAGACAATTCATACCAATTAATAAAAAATGACGTGCATATCACGAACACATTTTGCTTTACTTATTTTTCATATTTCTAATCATGTCCATTGATTAATATACAATGGTTAAATAAAAAATTGAGCTTTGCTCACGAATCACAGACCTGCCTTCCGGCTCTGGCATTTCCACAGACATTGGCTTTCAATTATTCATGCAAATAAATTATAAAAGAAACAACAGGATAAATAAACAAAGTAACTTTAACCAGGATCAATGGCTAAAATATATAACTTGCAGCAATCTGCAACTCAACTTCAAATTTTGGTTTTCCCCATCTCAAAACATGCAATTAACTAGCTGCCCTTGGAAACTAAACTAATGCAATGCAAATATCCAAACAGATATAATGCACCCTCAAAATTTGCTATTAATAATGTAAAAGAAGTAAGTTGACATTAGGAGACAAATCCAATTCAATCATGATCTACAGCACATGTTGCTCTTTGCTGGAATTTCTTGCGCTGGACCTGGAATGACGATCTTTTTGACTGCTAGTGATGCAGGGTTGCCATTCCCTTAATTATCACCAGCAACTAGGTTTTTCTTGTTCACTATCTCTGTAAGAACGGTTAAGAAAGCAGTCTCCACATTAGTCGCTTCCAGAGCTGAGGTCTCCAAGAAAAATAGTCCTTTTTAAACAAATTCTTAGGCATCCTCCATTGGAACTGCCCGCTGGTTTTCAAGGTCACTTTTGTTCCCAATCAGAATAATAACAATGTTCTTGTCAGCATGGCCTAGCAACTCTTCCAGCCAACGTGGAATGTGATCAAAGGTCTGGCATTTTGTTATATCGTAAGCCAGCATTGCCCAACAACACCCCTGTACTATGTACTTGTAGCAGCTCTATCTGTTCAATACAACATAAGAGAAGAAGCAAGATCACTAACTGCTCTTAAAACATAGTTTTAAGTGTTACTAAAATTTAAATAGCAAGATCACTTTCATCATGAGGATAACCATAACTCACTGATTGTAAGTTATTAGCGTTAAACCTTTAATGCAGCATCCTTCAAGCCATGAATCCATCTCGCTGCTTCCTCTGAACTACTTGCTCCTAGCTGTAAAGTTTAAATATTAGAATGACTTGCCTGCTAATAATTTGATATCAAAATAAATAAACACAGCTCACAGTTTACACAACTTAGGCTGATCATTATTATTTGAAGTGCTGTAAAGGGTGAAAATGAAGAAGACCTGAATGTGGTAAACACTTCATAAGCATTAAATTTTGATGTTGCAGCACTAAAAAGAAATATGCATTATGCTGGAACATAAATTAGGGATTTAATAATTGCACCATTTTGTTAATGCTCTCCCTTCCATTGTCTGTAACCTGAATGCATGAATCTATTATTGCACTTCTAACAGGTTCCTGCAAAAGAAGAGTTTTCGATAGTCCGTAACTTAATGATTTTAACAAAAATATCCTAGCTGAAATTGCAAAATTACAAATAATCACACTTTGATTCAGTTGATATTAGAAATTAGCTGGGATTTAAATAGGTTGATTTCTTGTATTTCAGTTACAGAGGTCTAGTTATTCTAGATAGAAAGGTATATTTATATGTGATTATGAACTAAAAGTAGTTGGTAGTTGGTGCACACCAAGGTTTGACTTCGTGGTCAACTAACTTCCTGAGATGAAGCTAAGTTTCTATACATGCAAAGCCTGAAAACATCAAATCTCAATGGCACTTATTAAGCTATTAAATTGGAAGACACTGCAAGCCATATGTAGTAGAGCTTAATCCATGGAACTTGAACCATCTGTTAGACATTAAGTTCCTCCAGACCTATATCAATATGCAGCATTATTCTCAGCGTCTTTTATCTTGTCTTCTTGGTAAACACACCTCATTAATAAGAGCCCTCTTAGGTCTTCACCATATAATTAAATCTCACCTCCACTTTTCTGAGGTTTTTCTGTTTTTTCTTTACATCATCAAAACTAAAAGACATCAAATTTTCACCCTGATGAACTGCACTTGATTCCAAGATTTTACAATTCAAGTGGCAAAACTTCTTTGCCAGTTGTATATTCAAAGAGTCCATAATTTCTCAATCTTAATGGTAAAAAATATATAACACGATCTCAAATGAGGAGATTACATACACACATATATATAAGAAAAATCGAAAAGAAATACTTCAGAAAGAATATACATAAGTAGAATTGAAAAGAAATACTTCAGAAAGAGTCTCATTAGTATTATTGATTTCTATTTCATCTATGTCCCCTCCCCTACCATCGATATAACTCAGAACCGTAAAATATATAACCAAGATTTTTAAAAGATGTTAATACTATGATAACTCTGTTGGATTAATTAAAGCCTTCAGCAGAATTTCAAAAGACCAGATAAGTTCCGTTTACAGGATGTATCACACTGTACTCTAAAATGCAACTAGAGCCAACAGGACATGTATTTTAATACCTTCAAACATTATCAATAGCAGCATAAAAAAGTAGACAATCGAAAACCTAACCACATGCAACTAATTGATCAAGGAACTAGGTTCAATCGGTTAAATTTATTGTTCACACATTGCACCAAATCACACATCACAGGAAAAAACCACTTTTAGAATTAAGATTGAGCTTGACCGAATAACAAAATCAAGTAAGTTGTACCAAATAAAACTTAAGCTTAATCGAAACAAAAAATATTGTTAACCATTTCGTTAATTACAAAATCAGAACCAAAATGAGGAGAGAGAGAGAGAGAGAGAGAGAGAGAGAGAGAGAGAGAGAGAGAGAGAGGAAGAACCTGTTTCGAAACGGCGCTGATGAAGAAGATGACAACGATTGAGTTGAAACCAAAGAGGCAAAATTAGGGATTTTAAAAAATTAGGTAAAGATTCGTTAGATTTTTGTCTCAAAACTGATTTAAAAACAATACATGAAAAAACATGAAAGAGATAGGGGATTAGAGGAAGATGAAGATGGTAACCTCGTGGAGCACAAATGGAGATGCAAAGCCTTATCAGAGAGTTTAAAACGTGAAGCTTAAAATCATTTAGTGCAAGTGAAGATAGTAACTAATGGAGAGGCCTTCTTTCTCTAGATTGGCAGAGAGTTTTATAGAGTGGACATAAATGAATTAAAGGCAAAGTGGAGAGATTTTTTGTGGGTTAAACCCATTCAGTCGTAGAAAGCAATGATATTTTCGGCGGGTTGGGCTTTGACGAAAAAAGCTCATTAAATTTGAGATTATATAGGCGGTTCATTAAACCGCCGAAAAATATATGCCTTTAAAATTAAGTTTTTTTTAGTGATTTTTAATTATTTATTAATTTTATAAATATTAAATAATTTAAAATTTTTATTATATATAATTTTTAATATAATATCTTTACTGATTATTTCTCTTCTCATTATAATTCATTTTATTATTATTATTACATTTGCATTAAAATA